TTATAGAGACACTGTGATAGATGAGGAAAAACTAATGTCTGGTTTAATCAGAAAATGGATCTAGCCTCTGAACACATTATTTAAATATCAGGCTTCATATATTATTGTGCAGTGATAAGGGACAAATAACTGTTATAGTAGTGTGGCGGAAATGCAAAATAAAGATAAACCAGAGGCACTAGAATCTGAGAAACTACATTATTTGATTCTTATACTGTTCTCTTGACTTTTTTTCTTGTTCTGTTTTTGTTTTTTGTTTTAAGTTCTAGGGCTTGAAGTCTGGGCTTAGGTGCTGTCCCTGAGCTTTTGTGCTCAAGGCTAGCACTCTATGAACTTGAACCACAGCTAAACTGCCAGATTTTGGGGGTTAATTGTAGGTAAGAGTCTCACAGACTTCTCTGCCTGGGAAGGCTTTGAACTGCGATTTTCAGATCTCAGCTTCCTGAATAGTTAGGAGTATGAGTGTGAGCCACCAGCACCGGCTTTTTGCTTGTCTTTTTATATTATCATAAAACTAAAATTTCAGCGTTAATAATTTTCACCAACTCATAGTAACAGCTAATTTTTTTTCCAGTAAGGTAACCAAGACCTGTATAATTAAGTCTAAATACCATAGCAAAGTTTATAAATCCTTAGTATTCTGTTCCTTTCTTTTCTCTCCAGGCTTATCTGTTGGACGTTTGCTGCTTCACTTCAGACTGCAATGTTTTACTATGCTCAATCAGATTGACCTGTCCCCAGGGTATTTCAGGCCTCTCTGTGCTTTTGCTTTTGCTGCTTCATCTATACATTTCTTCCTAATTTTTCTTGTATTTCTAAATCATTTTTTAGTGTCAAGTCTAGGTACATCAATGATCCCAGACAATTTCTAAAACCCAGACAGAAAATTGCTGTCCTACCTGAATTAAGAGCACCTTGTGCTTATCTCTAATCTGTCTCCTTTCTTGTACTATGACAGCTTATTCATTAAGTGTACCATAAACTTCTTGAGAGCATGCATATTGACCACTGGCCCAGAACCCAGGCCCTGGTATGTAGTGGTCACTATGTAGTACGTGATTATAGATGGTTCGGAATCATTTTCAATGGACAGGCCATCTCTAGAAACCATATTGTTCTTTTTGTTTGTTTTTCAGGGCTCAGAGTTTAATGTACTTTAAGAAGAAACAATACAGTTGAAAAAGATCCATTGAGCTTTAAATTGGAGGACTTGTGTTTATATCTTGTTCTGTCATTTCCCTTGTTTATGCTTTCATGTGTGTAAAATAAGAATAATCACCAGATGTGTAAAATCCTGCCACAGTGTCTTACCACATAGGAATAGACTCAATAAAACATATTTTTCCTGCATTATTGCTTTATTTGTTTGTATGGCCTTTATTGATGTAAAATTATTATTATTAAAGTCTTATTACAGTTAAATTTAAGTCCAGTATTAAATTGCTTTGATCTGAGCTGAACTTCTACATAGCTATATAAAGTAGATGGCACCATCAATCATCTCTGTATTCTCATAGAGTGCTTCACTCTTTTTAATTTTTTACATTTCTACAGAACTTTTATTGCCACAAGCATAAGGGAATCCTTACTTTGTTCTTAGTGCCTAGAGAAATCTGTTTTATAGTCTGTTTACATCAGAAAACATCTACGTTAGAAGCATTTCCTTTACTTGTATTATATTATTGGCTTTTACCTATTTTTTCCTTTCATGTGATTTTAGTTCCTTGGGTAAAAGGCTTAGGATACACTGATCACATTGAATTTATTATAGAAATATGTGGAGTTTAACAATATGAAAAGTTCCTTTATCAGTGAGTTCTTAGTTTTTAACTTTGTTACATAAATGAAGATACAAAGCAGAATCAAAGACAAATGAAACAGGTTTGCTTGTGTCATCAAGAAATAAAAGGAATGAGAAAACCACAGAATTTCATTATCACATGAAATGTTAAGTATGTACAATAGGAGTTTCTAAAGGAAAATTCATAATCACAGACACTATTATAAGAAAATTTAGTGTAGATGGAAAACAAAGGCTTCACGGATATGTGAGTAGTCAAACAGTGAACACTAAGGGGTACAATTAATGTCACTGGAACCAAAGTATATTATCTGAATTTCAAGCTCACATTAGGCCAGGAGTAATGACTCAATTTGTTACAAAGCAGCAGGCCTGAGTCAGCAGTATGCTAGTAGTGATCCTACTTACCAGAAGTTAGGCTCTGATTGTGTGCTTTCTAAAGACAGAAGTAAATGTTACCTAGGTGCTTTTGTATTGAATTAGGCCTGTACCTGTCATACACTAACTCATTTTACCTGCAGTGAATTCTGAATTCAATTCGAATTAGATTTTGGTGCTTTTTGGTGGAGAGGTTTGTGATGACTAGGAAAAAAAAAATTGAATAGTTGAACTTCAGAGGAAAATAATTTGGTTGTCATAATCTGAAAAGTACTACTTATTATGGGAAATAAGAATTTCAGGGTCATGTTTTCTATGTTGTGAGTAAAGTATTTGGAGTTGGGAGTTCTCAATGAACAGCCTTTTTATGTATATGTTGCCTACATTGGGCCACAGTTAACAGATATCATTGCTAAAGTCTAAGTACTGGTTGATAGCTTACACAAAGGAAGAAAAATTAACAATTATTTTGTTTAAAAAACAAAATCATTTGGGGTATTATAAAATGTATATCTTATCTTATTTTCCCCTCCTCTATGCCCATTATGGGGCTTGAGCTTGGAGCTTGCATGCTGTTCCTGAACTTTTTTGCTCAAGGCTGGTGCTCTACCACTTGAGCCACAGCTCTGAGCACTTTTGGCTTTTTGATGGTTAACTGGAGATAAGAGTACCATTGTTTTTTTCTTCCTGGGCTGGCTTCTAACCATGATCCTAAAATCTTAGCTTCCTTAGAAGCTAGGATTATAGGCATGAGCCACTAGCACCCTGCTGATTTTTCTAATTTTTTACTTGTTCTTGATATTTACTTTAGCTTCTTATGATGCACCTAATGTCCAGGTTCAAAAGGTTCTTTGTATACTTTTGTATCAGTTTATCTTACAAGAAAATATTTATCCCTTGCTTTGGAGAACTTGCAATTTACAAGAAGAGGAAATAATAGATAATTCTTTAAGAGTAACACGGCAAGCTACAGTCTAGGAGAAGTCATAGTTACAGAAGTCGTATTGATAATTGGATTGTGTTCAAAATGTACAGAGTACTTTTAAAGCAAACGATAGAAAGTGAACTACCTGTTAGAAAATGGACAAAAGATTTGAAGATATACATATTACATAAACATATAAAAAGTTGCTCAACCTCATATGTTTGTTGGAGAACTGGAAATAGAATAACCTATACACCTATTGGAATGACTGAAGTCCAAACACTAACACTTAGGCCGAATGCTATTAAGGATAGCCTGAATGTTTTCCTCATTTGTTGATGGTGGAAATGAAAAGTAGTACAGCTTGTCTGGATATTAGGAAGTTTCTTCTGAACTAGATACTGCATATTGTTACTATATTAGCTAGTAGTCATGCTCTTTAATATTTACCCCAGTTGGTTAAAAACTTATGTCCCTATCAAAATATGTACAAGGATGTCTATAGCATCTTCATTCATAATTGTCCAAACTTGAGAATAATCAAGATTTTCTGTTCTTCAAGTAGAGAATGTATAAATTAATATATCTGGACAATGGAATACCATTCAATGCCAAAAAAGAAATGGCTATGAAGTCCTAAAAAGACATGAAAGAAACTTAAGTGTATTTTGTTTTGGTTGGTTGTAGGGCTTGATCTCTGTGCCTAGGCATTGTTCCTGAGCTCTTCAGCCCAAGGAGAGTGCTCTACCACTTGAGCCACAGCACCACTTCTAGTTTTCTGGTGGTTAATTAGAAATAAGAGTCTCACAGACTTTCCTGTCTTGGCTGGCTTTGAACCATGATCCTCAAATCTCAGCCTCCTGAGTAGCTAAGATTATAGGCATGAGCCACAGGCACCTGGCTCAGGGAGTTCTTTTTAGGCCACTAACACTTCTCTGTATGATCCAGTAGTAGTGAGCACATGTCATTATACATTTGTCAAAACCCACTGAGTATGCAATGTTCAGAGTGAACCCTAATATAAGCTATCAATTTGAGTGATATTAGTATTGATGTAGGTTTATCAATTGTAAAGAATGACCCATCCTGTTGAAAGACACTGATAGTTTGTAAGATGTGTGTGTATATAGTAAGTAGAGAATATTTGGAAGTCTCTGTATTGTTCACAAAACTGGTCTAAAATAAAAGCCTATATAAAAAGATAATTCCTCTAACTAAATTATATACAAGAAGAGTTATTATAAGTATGGCAGTCCAGAGAAGATAAGGCTTATTCAGTCTAGATTTGAAAAAGACTTCACAGAAATGGTGATTTGTGGGGAGATAATTTAAAAGTAAGTAGAATTTTGCCAGTGTGAAGGAGAAGGTAAGTTTCACAAGTAGAGAAAGGGAAGAAGGAGGGAGTTTAACAGGAAAGCGAAAAAACAGGAGGAAGGGGAAGAGGTGTAACTTACTACATGGTTGCCATGTAATTCTGATGGAAATTTGGAGTTTAAAGGAGAGGTGAAGGAGGTACATCATTAGACTAGTGGATAAATTAGGGAAAACTAGCCATTTTTGAAGTCTATGTACAGAGTAAACCATTGTATACTTCTGATGAACGGAAAAGCTAATACTGTAGATTCATTGTTGGACATTCTTGTCTCAGTTTGATACTGAGGGAACTGAGGCAAAGTGGTTATAAATATTCATGTTCATATAACTAATAAGTGGCAAGCTGAAATTCATGTCCAGACCTCATAATAGCAATACTCACATTCCTGATTAATGCTGTGAGAAGTGGTATGGGAAAAACATTCAGCGAAAGAGGAACTAAATCCAATTGCCCTTTTTTGTCTGCTTTTTTTTCCAGGTTGCTCTTCAACAAGATAGACCAAATACAGTCCACTCAGAACAATGTTTCGTTTGGGCCGAAGTATGCTAAGTAATCTCAACATTCGAAGCATTCAGGAAATGGTGGCAAGATCAAGTCACCTAAAGCACTCACCAGATTTTCATGACAAATATGGCAATGCAGTGCTTGCCAGTGGAACCTCTTTCTGTATTGTTTCATGGTTTGTTTATATTACACAGATAGGAGTAGAATGGAACCTATCTCCTGTTGGAAGAGTTACCCCCAAAACTTGGAAACATCATTAATTGTTAGCTATTCAAACAGAATTGTCTTAAAACCAACTTGGTATGTAAGCATTTTCTTGTTCATTAAAATATAGAAGAATTAAAGAAATAAAGTTCATTTGAACTTTTACAGTTTGTTGCAAATAATCATTTTAGTGCATAGAAGCAATTAAGGCAGTACTAGCATATTACATAGATTATGAATATCATGTTTGAAATGGAATTAATAAAGCATGTGTTCTGCTTTAATGGCATGCTAGGGCTAGGTATCCTTCTGTGGACATACACATAAACCTTATGAACTCACTTGATTGGATCTCTTCTTTTGAATATTTTTTATTATCTTTAGGTATGCAAAGGAGTTGCCCTTTAAAAAAGCAGTTTGTGAATATGGTAGCTGTTAATCAATGTCACCTTTTTTTTTTTCTTGTTGGTCGTGACGCTTGAACTCTGATCTGGGTGCTGTTCCTCAGCTCTTCAGCTCGAGACGAGTGCTCTACCACTTGAGCTACAGCGCCACTTCCGGTTTTCTAGTGGTTTATTGGACTTTCCTGCCTGGGCTGGCTTTGAACCATGATCCTCAGATCTCAGCCTCCTAGTAGCTAGGATTACAGGCATGAGCCACCAGCGACCGGCTAATGTTACCTCTTTTTAATATTCCTATGCACTCTTCCAACATACCCCTTCCCTCACTTTTCTTAATTTTAGGATATATATTGATTTTTTTTTTTTGCCATTTAACAAAGTAGTTTATGTATACCATACAGCTTGATCTGTATAATCCATTCAACATCTTCACCCATCTTTGACCCACTCTTTTCCTTATTTTTATAATTTCCATGGTATATACAATAAATTATTGCCTGAAATCTCCCTCCTTCCCTCTTCATTCTTCTATCCCTGACATTGGGCCATTCCCCACCTCCTTGTGAGTATATATTTCTTGGTACTTATTTTGTTGGGCTTCTACTTAGTCTTTCTAAAGAATTATAATATTTGAGGCCTGCTAACCTTCATTAAATTACTTTGTAGCTGCTTACTTACCACCCAGTGTATTTAATCACACACTGGGGCTTCTTGTCTATACCTATATTTTACCTCAAGAAATTCTAGCTGGGTGCTGGTGGCTCATATCTGTAATCCTAGTTACTCAAGAAGATCACCGTTCAAAGTCAGGCCAGGCAGAAAAGTCCATGAGAGACTTTATCTCTAATAAACTACTCAGAAAAAGCTGGAAGTGGAGCTCTGGCTCAATTGGTAGAGCATTAGCCTTGAGTACAAAGAGACCCAGACACAGCACCAGGCCCTGAGTTCGAGCCCTAGGACAGGCAAAAAAAAAGAGGACCCAGTGCCAGGCTGCAGAAGAACAGAAGACCTCGGGAACCCTGTAGAATTTGGTCATTTTCTCTTGAGCAGTGAGGCCTAAGGCATGCTATGGGAAGACTTTCCCCTACAGTCCTTGCCAGGTTAAGAGGATTTATGACCCTGATGATTTTCAAATCCTGCCTGAAGAAAGAACCTATGGTTTGTCTGATACTTCTAGTTGGTGCCTGTTTGTGGAGTCTGTTGAATAAATAGGAATGTGAGGGTGAGGTATACCTTATAGACATTAAATATTTTTCCATGTCAAAAAAAAAAAAAAAAAGAGGACTAGGAATGTGGCTTAGTGGTAGAGTGTTGCCTAGCATGCCTGAAACCCTAAGTTGAATTCCTCAATAACACATAAACAGAAAAAGCCGGAAGTGGCATTGTGGCTCAAGTAGTAGAATGCTAGCCTTGAACAAAAGGAGCTCAGGGACAGTGCCCAGGCCCTGAGTTCAAGCCCCAGGACTGATAAAAAAGTATTAACTTAAATCCTGCTCTCTCAATTGCTGTATTACTCTTTGCTTAGCTTCCTCCCGTTCATGTCATTCCTGTAGTTCTCTTTGAGTGTTCTCAGCCTGTTCATGCCATTCCTGCTTGGCCAATAGACACATGAAGAAATGTTCAACCTCCCTAGCCATAAAAGAAATGCAAATCAAAACAACATTGAGATACCACCTCACCCCAGTTAGAATGGCTATAATCAAGAACTCTAACAACAACAGATGCTGGAGGGGATGTGGACAGAAGGGAACCTTATTTCATTGTTGGTGGGAGTGTAAACTTGTTCAACCACTTTGGAAAGCAGTATGGAGGTTCCTGAAAAGACTTCATATAGAGCTCCCCTATGACCCAGCAATCCCACTTTTGGGCATTTACCCAAATGTTTACAGACAAGACCACACTAAAGCTACCAGCACAACTATGTTTATTGCAGCATTATTTACAATAGCTAAGACATGGAACCAACCCAGATGCCCCTCATCGTAGATGAATGGATTAAGAAAATGTGGTATATATACACAATGGAATTCTGTGCCTCCATCAGAAAGAATGGCATTGCCCCATTTGTTAGGAAATGGAAAGACTTGGAAAAAATTATATTAAGTGAAGTTAGCCAAGCCCAAAGAAACATAGGTCCCATGGTTTCCCTTATTTGCAATATCTAGTATAAGTATGAGTCAAGCAGAAAAGGTCAGATAATGTGATGTTAGGAAAATGAACCCTTAGATATGTATTTAAATGTTTTTTTTTTCTTGCTATTGTTTCTAATGCATTTATAAGATTATTTCTTTGTTGCTTTGTATGTCCCTCCCCCACAGTATAACCCCTGCTTTCACTATATTTGATGTCGGTATAATTTGTGGAGGAGATGGGGAAAAACAAGTCATTTAAGGATACAGGTGGACCCGTTGCAACTATGAGAAGTACAAGTTGTCATGTTGAAAACGAACTTTACAACTTTGGTGTGGTGGAGGGGAGGGGATTGGGTGGGGGGGTAGAGGGAGGCTAGGAAGGGATGTGAAGGGTAAACAAAGGAGGAGTCTGCAATGCTTGATAAGAAATGTACTCAAAAGAGCTATTGCCAAGAAAACAACAAATGCTGGCAAGAACCAGAGGAGGCGGGTACTAAGAGGGAGGATCAGACTCAGACATTGTTGGTGGGAATGCAAACTAACATTACCACTATAGAAATCAGTATGGAGGATCCTCTAAAAAAAAAAAAAAAAAAAAAGAAATGTACTCATTATCTTGCCCATGTAATTGTAACCCCTCTGTACAGTATGTTCACAAAAATTAAAAAAAGTATTAACTTAGAATTTCAGTGGTCAGGAATCTGAACCTGATTTAGCTGAGTACTTCTTAATACAGTAATTCATATTTATTCAAAGGGCTTCAATAATCTCGAAGCACAACTCTGAGGGAGGATTTGCATCCAAACACACTCAAGTCCTCAGAACCTTGTTGAATGTGACTTCATGGTAAAACTCATATGAGTTTCACCATAACTAATTCACAATATTAGTACTAGCTCCTAGAATTCAGATGAATTCTTGGTTAACTCTTTAGCCAAGGTCCCCAAACAGTAGCCACAGTCTACTAACCTCACACATGATAATTCTATCATTTCTACCACATTTTGCTCACATAAACATATACCTATGATGAGGGTAGGTTAAGACTATCTGATGGCAGAAATCATTGGATATTATTTAAAAGACTGCCTATGATAAGTAGAGACGTCCTTCTCTTATTAGTCAATGAACTTCAAAATGTTTGTTTCTCAAACCTTAATATCTAAATACTATTTTGTAAGTGAAGTGTGGTGCATGAGTTTCATGCCACACAGGTTTTATTGTGAATTCCTCTGAGGCTCTTTCTACATATGGAATTAGTAGGTTTTAGGGAATGTCCATATTAAGCTTTGCCAGTGTTTCTAATGTATTCTCCAAAGGGGTTAGAGTTATCAGAAATGTTAATATTTACTTCTTTAATGAATACAAATAGTAGCTCATGTTCTACTGTATATTGCTCTGGTTTTTAATGAGGTGCAGCCTCAGTTAGAGTTTTGTTTTTCCTTATTATTTAACTCAACTGTTTGTTTCTTGGGCCATTTTTATTTGGTTATATGTCTTACTCATTTGTAGGTTTTTTTTGCATGCTGTGCTTACAAAATTGAATCAGGGTTTAATCAGGAAGACAGAAACAATATGAGTAGTTTAGAATTAATTTTGAGAATTAGAATAAATACAGTGGTGGGAGCTGATGTAGAAGCCTGTGCAAGGCTATTGCTTCTATGTCTGGTGTAAAGGAAGACAGCTAGCTGAGAAGTAATAGTTAACTAGGACCAACAGAAATAGAAGGGAATGAAATAAAATCATGAATACTAATTGAAACCTATGCCATTTTGTCATTGTCTCTAAAATAACTTGGATGATCTACAAAGAAGTTAGTATTCTTTACCATAGGGCTGAATATTCTTCTGATGTAGGAGTCAGAAAGAGCTGAAGGAAAAGAACTAGTGGGATTTTTGCATAGCTATTTATTGTTTCTTGTCAACAAAGCAAGCTAGAAGACAAGTAACAAATTACAGAAGCTGCTATTATGGTCAGTGCTCTATAACAACATTGAAAATATAAAATGAGTTTCATGTCTACATTCCCTGTCTCATACCTTTTTCTCTGTGGTCAATCCCAACCTGAAACTAGAGAGAGAAGCATATGGCTTGAATGGTTAATATCACTCCAAAGATCCATATATTACAGCTTTGTCTCCAAAGTTGTACTGTGGAAACTGGTGGGATGTTTAGAAGGCAGTGCCTAGTAGGAGGCACTCAAGTTATTGGGATGGATTGTGGGACATCAGTCTCATTTGAACTTCTTTTGGTGTATAAAATTTCCCTCATAAACTCACTCCTACCATGATGTGCTAACATCTTCTGGGCCCCCTCAGAACAAAGACCAAATTAAAGGGATTGCATGTCAGTCAACAGAGTCAAACAGAGCAGATTAATATCTAGAAAAAAGTAGTTTACCTAAGGTAACACATAGAAAGCTACTGCAAGCTCACTTGTGCAGCTTGACATCAGTGCACATCCTGATCATAAATGTCTTTCACATGAAGACAATAGTGAAACAGGCTTCTATGTAAAATGATGTAACTTACATTAATAAAATTAAAAAGATTCTTTCTTCCCAAAAGAAGACACAGAATCCCAGTCAGGGTTGCACTCTTGACTTCCAGCTTAATTTCTATGGTGCTTAGT